CAACGGACAAACAGAGCTGCAGGGCATACTCCCCAACCAGGCAATACAAGGGTTGGAAGGCATTTGGTGCAAAATTCAAAAAACAAGATGGTGCCCGGGAGGAAGAGGCGCACCATACAATCGTGGGCTACACACACACCTGTGTGGGACACACAGACACTTTTGAATCCAACAAGATCCTCACCAAGGTGAGGATTGATGGGACACTGTGCCCGATGGAAGTTGACTCCGGGTCTTATATATCCATGATTTATTGGGCGGCCTTACAAAAAATCAACCCCCGCATCAGCCGGAGCCAGCTGCAGCAACAATGAATCATACTGAAGGACTACCAAGGCTGCAAAATACCGATGCTGGGGAAGAAAACCTGTCACATGGAATACGGAGACTTCCAGGGAGCCCTGCCACTGACCATCGTGGACCGAGATCTCCCCAGCCTCCTAGGGAGAGAATGGTTCGCGCCACTGCAGATCAGCCTCACAGGCATCCATGTGACAGCGATGGCCAGATCAAACAGTGGAAGCAACCTAGATGCTTTGGAGAGGGAATTCCGGGACGTCTTCAGCAGCGAATTGGGCAAGTATAAGGGGACCCCTATCAGTTTTAACCTCGACCCCAACATAGCCCCGGTCAGACTGAAGTCCTGGAGAGTCCCTTTCACTCTGCTGCCCAAGGTTGAAGAGCAACTAGACAAGCTGGTAGCTCAAGGGGTCCTCGAACCGGTAGACCACATGAGGTGGGAGACCCCCATAATGACCCCTGTGAAGCCCAATGGGATTTGTGTGGACTACAAGAGTACCCTGAACCTCATGCTGCAACAGAGTGCATATCCGGTGCCAGTGGTCCAGCACCTATTACATTCCTTGGGCCGGGGCAAATTTTTGCTAAATTGGACCTAGCGCAGGCATACCAACAATTGCCTGTGGATGCAGCCATTGCCGAAGCCCAAATGATCGTGACCCACGGGCACATTCAAGTGCAACCTCCTGCAATTTGGGGTTAGCATAGCCCCCGGCCTATTCCAAAGCATAATGGAAAGGCTATTACAAGGTCTGCCGGGAGTAGTCCTCTATTTTGATGATGTAATAATCTTGGCTGGAGACAAACCCCAGCTAATGAAGAGGGTCCGAACAGTACTAGAACGATTCCAAGAAGCAGGGCTTAAGTTAAAAAGGGACAAATGCTACATTGCTGTGCGAGCATAGAGTTCTTGGGTTTCTTAATCGATGGGTCAGGCATCCGACCCATGGACAGCAAGATGAAAGCAATTAAGGAAGCCCCCACCCCACAGAGCAAAGCTGAACTTCAAGCTTTCTTGGGACTACTAAATTTTATAATATATTTTTGCCACAGAAGGCGATGATAGCAGAGCCACTCCATATACTGCTGGACAAAAATACAACCTGGAAGACACCGCGTTCACCAAAATAAAGAACATTTTAACATCAGACACTGTATTAATGCTATATAGCAATACGGCTAACCTGTGAACTGTCACCATATGATATCGGAGCAGTATTGAGCCACAAGCTACCGAATGGGAGGGAGGCTCCCATAGCTTACTATTCTAAGACTTTGTCCAAAACCGAGAGAAACTACGGCCAAATAGACAAAGAAGTTCTCGCCGCTGTAGCTGGAGTGAAATGTTTTCACGAATACCTATATGGCAGACACTTTGAGTTAGTCACAGACCACAAGTTGCTGCTTGGCATTCTCTTGGGAAACAAACCTACACCCAACATTTTATCACTGAAAATGTTAAGATGGACAGTTTTCCTGGCAGCCTATAACTACAGCCTTCTACACAGACCAGAAAAGAACATTCCACACGCCAACGCACTCAGCAGGTGCCCCCTGCCAGACCTAGTGAAGACCCAGCCCCCACAACTTACGTATTCCTTGCAGAACGTATGGATTTGGGCTTATTGATGACAGCAGACATTGCGAGACTCACCGCGAAGGACAAAATGTTGGTGTGAGTTTTGAACTGAGTATGACGGGGCTGGCTGGACAAGGCGGAAGGGGAGGAATTCAAGCCATTTAAAAACAGACAACTAGAGCTGTCAGCATTAAGTGGGTGTTTGTTATAGGGAGACAGGGTGGTTGTACCACAGCTGTTAAGGGAAAGAGTTTTGGGATTACTACATGAAGGGCAACCTGGGATGGTAAAAATGAAGGCCCTAACAAGGAGTTACATCTGGTGGCCGGAGATAGACAGAGACATTGAAACCTGCGTCGCCACATGTTCACCATGTCAGGAGTCCTGATCTGCCTCTCCCGCAGCACCCCCCCTCAAGTGGGAAAAGCCCTCAGCACCATGGGGTCGCATACACATAGATTTTGCAGGACCCTGCCAGGGGCAAACGTTTCTAATCATGGTTGACGCCTACTCTAAATAGTTGGAGGTGGTCATCATGAAATCCACTACAACTAAGGCAATGATCAGAGCATTGCAGAAAATATTCGCCACCCACGGGCTACCCGAAATGCTGGTTTCAGACAATGGCCCGCAATTCACAGCACAATTTGAAAGCTTCCTTGCCCAACTAGGGATCCGACATGCCCAGATCACCCGTCCATGAATGGGCAAGTGGAGAGAATGGTCCGAACGACCAAAGAAATACTAAAAAAATTAGGCCCTGGCGATTGGCAAGAAAAAAATTGACAAATTACTGCTAACCCAACACATAACACCCAGCACAGCAACAAACAGAAGCCTAGCAGAAATGTTCATAAACAGAAAATTAAGGTCCGCCTTGGACAGGGTCAATCCAAACTACACAAACGACATCCCTCTAGACTCCACAGGGAGGTGCAGGACATTCGCACCTGGAGACACAGTGTATGCATGCAACTACACGGGAGGGGAAACCTGGGTCCCGGCGAAAATAATCGAAAGTACTGGACCCATATCATACAGACTGGAGGTAGAAGGGGGAAAGACATGGAATAGGCACATAGACCAACTGCAGGGCCACATAGCTCAACCCCCACATGAAGCTGAACAACACAACACACCTCTGGCAAAAACTGGACCCCAGGAATTAGAAACCCCACAAAGGCACATAATAGTAAGGTCAACCTCAAACAGGATAGCAGAGGACTTATCTGGGGGTGGAGGAGTCCAGCGTAGTACGTCTGAGGCATCTAGCTCAACAGAAAGTGCCACGCCTCCGGAAAGTTTCGAGGCACTTCCAAGGGCAGAGTCTGAAGCAGTTGCAGACCTGTCTCCTCAGGCTGCCGCCTCAGGAACAACTGAACTGCACAGGCCCAGTCGCACTCACAGAAGCCCTGCCTACTTGAAGGACTATGTCTGCCGCGTATGCGGTGATTGGTCGGTCTGAACTAAGAGAGGAGGGGTGTTAAATATGCATGACGCTGTATTTATATGTGTTATGTGATATGCAAAGTGGAGTCTGATGTCAGACTCCACTCATTGGTTCAGCCACTGGCAGGAAAATTTGAATCCCATCAGTGGCTGAAGTATTGGACAGCACCGGCTATAAAAAGCCAGCGCCTACCATGTTTGTTCATTTTTTTGATTCCGGCTTTAAAATAAAGAGTTTCTTTGCACTCCTGAGTCCTGCTCTTTCCTATCCGTGCCCATTTAACACATTCCTTTCAGGATACCAGAGATTACACCTATTAATTAATAGCTGTGGTGGCACAGTGGTTAGCATGCAATATTGCAGGCTGATTCTGCTTGCTGCCGTTTGATCCTCACTGGCTCAAAGGTTGACTCAGTTTTCCATCCTTCCGAGGTGGGTAAAATAAGGACCCAGATTGTAATATGCTGACTCTATAAACTGCTTAAAGAGGGTTGTAAAGCACTGTTGAAGGGGTATATTAATCTAGTGCTGTTGTTATTGCTAATTAATGAAAGATCCTTTCCTCTGACTGCCAGTGGTCCTTTTCTACTGTCAGTTTTTGTTGCACATTTTTATGTAATATTTACAGGAAAGGAGGTCTTTTGGGAGGTGTGTGAACGTGCCCTTTGAAATGTTTAATTTGGCAGACATGCATCTCTGTTGGGTTGAAGTTCTCATCTAACTTGGCTAAATGTAAGATCTTCCTCTTTTTTGTGTATGCCTATGTGCTGATTTTAGGGTGCCATATTGGTACATTCGGGAAAGTTCTGCATCTTGAATGGATTTGCCTGTTTGCTAATTCTTTGAGACAGATGTGGGCTTATCAGTTTCCGCCTGACTGTTAATTATCAGCTAAAAGAAGTTAAATCTCAACATTGCATTTATTTATGTTTACAACACAATTTCTTTCAGTTATTGGCAGGTCATGTTGATGATTCAAGAAATTCATAGTGCATGAATAACATTATTTCTGAATTGAATTTTCTTCCACAGTTGATTCAATGGACCATAACAATATAACAGGATTAGTATTGCTATGCAATTATAGGAGAATTAGTGGAAGAGGCGGGGTGGGGGCTGCTTGTTTCATTCACAGATGGAAGCAGCTATTTTATTTTTTCTCTTCAACGGCTGACTAACATCCTGGGGGGAAAAATCAGCCCCTAAATCGTTTTGTCATAATGGCACCGGGAGGCTGAATTTCTATTCATCTCTAGAAAAAGTCAATAGGAAACGGGGGAGAAAGGCGGCTATTTGCTTTTTGTGAGAAGAGAGCTTAAATGTTCCTTTTTGACTGCTGATAATAAATTATCTTTAAAATTGTGTAGAGACGGACACTGCGGGTTATTTAATGATTGTGGACAAGAAAATATATGTGGGTAGTTCATCTTGCAGTTAAAACCGAGTTATTCCAAACCTGGAATATTAGGAAAAAGTCTCGATGGCAAGAGACACTCTATTACGTAGCTCTATGGCACTTTTTAGATTGAACACTTCCGGTTGCGGAAAATGAACTTCCGGTTGCGGAAAATGAACTTCCGGCGACGCCATATTTTAAATCCGAGAAGTAACGTTTCAGCACGGTACTCTGAAATTACTTCCTGTTTTTTTTAAACCCTTGAACCAACTTCCGGTCGAGAGAGGAAAGAGACGGCCGTGTCTAGATAGCCACCCTCGCACCGTACTACATTCATTATTGGGTCTTGATATATTTCCTGTTTGAAATTGTTTCTCTGTTGGCTGTGTGGTGGGGGGAGGGAGATTGAGGAAAAGCGGACCCTCGAAAGGTGGGAGGACGCAGGTACGCATGCGCAGAACGAGACGGCGTGCGCTACTTCAGTCATTCTCCGGCCGAGGGGGATTCCTGCCCTCAAGCTATCGAACTGCCAAGGAAGGAGGAGCCGGCTAAGAGCCTGCGAGCTTTTCGTGCGCCTGCGCTGTGGGTCCCCTCCTTTTTTCCCTCCCCTCACGCCCTTTCCGCCGGTTCATCTCCGAGGTGCAAAAAAAAAAAAAAATAGAAACAAAGCTATGAGAGACCGAACGCAGGAGCTGAGAGAGGTGAGAACGACGCCCGCGCGCCCCTTCACGACGCACGGCTTAGCCCCGCCCACAACGGCCGCGCTTACACCTGCCTTGGCGCCACCGGCGGCTCTGGCTTCGCGTTGCTCTCCGCCGCTTCCTCTAGGCTGTTCTCTCTTCTCCCCCTGCCGCAATTTGGTGGCCTTTCCCACCCCCCCCCCCCCCCCCGAATCAAACCCATGGCTCATTCCCTTTTCCCTCAGGACTCGCAACTTCCTCTCACCGCTGGACCCCATTCAGACATCGACCTGACTGTGGTTTCTTCCCCCAACCCCAAAAACCTCAACCTTAGACCTTCTACTATTGACCTCACCCCTTTCCTAAGAGGTCTGTAGGGGGCGTGCATAAGCACACCAACATGCCTACCATCCCTGTCCTACTGTTTCTTTTTATTTTTCTTATATGTATCTATTTCATGTATTCATAACTGTGTATATACTTATATCTGTTAATCTTATAATCGCTTGACAAAACAAACAAACATCCTCTTTTCCCCCTTCGACTCTTGGTGGTTCCCTCAGTGCCTCTCTTCTTGCCCGTGGAGATAGAAGGTCCTCCCCGGGCCGGCGTGGAGCAAAACCTCGCTTCTGCCTCTTTTTCTCCCAGCACAGGAGTGGGAAAGGTTAACAATATTCACATTTAAAATGGCGGCAGCCCCCTTTTCTTTCCACCTGGCTTCGCTCCCCTTCACCTCAGCGGCAATTTTCTCCTCCCTTCCATAAATTGACGCTGCTTAAGAAGGAAGGTTTATTCATGAGCAGAACCAGCAACAGCATGCAATTCTGGGACAGCTTGACCCATTTGGCTTTAGGCATGGGTGGATTTTTATAGGATTCTTGAGAAGCTGCAGGGAGTTGTGCAATAGTTGTGCCTTTTCCTAGTCTAATGATGGTGGGTTAAATCCTATTATGTCCTAAAGCTCATGTCTTAGAAGCTGGGTGAGAGGTATACATTCTTAAATCCCATCAGCTGGAGCTGAAGGTGTTTTGTTTATAGATTGGCCCAGTCTTAATAGGTACAAAATATCCATCTCTAAAAGACTTCAGGCATCTGCTGGAGGCTGTTTTCCTATAGCAGGAAGACGGTTGCTTTCTGCCTTTAAGAGCATGTTTCTTCATTTCTCCTTTGGGAGAATATAATATTCTGCCTCTTTTTAATATTTTATTGGGGGGGGGCTTCCTACACTCCATTGTACTTTATTTCTTCTCCCCTTCTCTACAGACCCATAACCTTTATCCCCCCACCCTTTCTCCATAGTTGCTTTTCTTGGCATAATTGCTGGCACTCCTGAATTCTCAGTGTCACCCCAGAGAAAGTTTAAGACACTGTTTCTCCACCTTAGCAACTTCAAAATGTGTGGACTTCAATTCCCTTCTAAGAATTGAAATCCACACATCTTTAAAGTTGCCAGGATTGAGAAACTCTAGGTTAAGGCAATGGCTGCGAGCTTGAAATGACAGAAGCTGAAACAAAACGATTTGGGAGCCATCCTCAATCTGGGGCACTACAACTCCAGTAGCTGATGCTGGCTGGGCCCTGGCCCTAATGGTAAAAGCACCAGGTGGGACAATCTGGACAAGGGTCAGTTGCCGCTTCCCAATCTAATATAGAGGCAAGATAAACATCAGTGGGGAAAGCTGACCTGGATTCCAGGATAAGAATGTGAGCCTGGGTTTTTTGACATGGAATTTTCTTTTATGTACACTGACAGCATTTGCACCAAGACAAATTCTTTGTGTATCCTATCACACTTGGCCAATAAAGAATTCTATATTCTATTCTATTCTAAATTGCAGTGGAAGGGCAAGTTTTAATTTTGTCTTGGAGTGGGTTTGCAAATGTGTTGGTATAAAATTATTTATACATGTATTTATGCATGCTTTTTATCATCTCAGCAGTTGTCACTAAATCTATATTCATTATGCCTATATTGTGGACTTTTTTTTGTCCCTTTGACCCAGTTTTGCCTCCTGGCAACTGTCTGGAGAAGTCATTGCAGTTTTCTTGGCAACACTTTGGAAATGGTTTGCAAATGCTTCCTTTGTAGGATGAGAGAAAATAATTGGCTCAAAGTCACCCAAGTAAATGTGTGCCGAAGATGGGACTAGAAATCAGTCTCCCATTTTCTAGGTGATGCCTTAAACACTACCATGAACTTGGGTCTCTGGACTTTCCTTAATCTTCCAAAATTCTTCAATCCCTGTGTAGCTTAATAGTATTTTACTAAATTACTGATTTGGCATAGCTGCCCCAGCTAAAATTATTTTAAAACATCCATTTTTAAAGAAAAATATGATTTTTTTTTTAACCCCGAAGGGGACTGATTCCAGCTGTCTATGGTTTTTGTTAGAAAGGGCACCAGTTTCACAATTCGATGAAAAATCATTTTATTTCTAATTAATAGTAGCCTTCTAAAAATTTCTAAAGGAAGGAAGAGAGTTGGTTCAACTATTCTCAGAACATAATTGTGGTTCTTTGAGCAAAACCCTACTAATTAAGCAGGGCTCGATAATTGTAATTCATGGTTAAAGTTTTAATTGGCCAAAGCATTTATCTCTAATTAAATAGTAGCAATTGTTCTACTACTTTCTCTTACATTTTGAAAAAGGATTTCTTTTGGAAATCATTTGCTTTTGGAAACTCATGATTCCCTAAAAGACCTCTGAAAGTGCTGTGCCAGTTCTTGGTGTCTTCTGAAAAATATGTATTTGATGCAATCACAATTTGAGGACCACTGAGTTATAGCAATGACACAGCTGAGCGGTTTCCAAACTTGGCAACTTTAAGACTTGTGGACTTCACTTCCCTGAATTCCTGAACCAGCCATGCCAAGTTGCTAAAGTCAGCTTTTTTCCCCTCTAAATTCTGTAAAATCATATACATTAAAAAATACTGGTTAGCAAGATGGACTTTTTTGGTTAAGCAGTAGCATTAAACTTTTGAGTCCACACACAAAAGCCTGTACAAACCTTGCAAATTATAGCCACATCTTATACAATCAGGAAGAGGAATACAATAAACCGTTTCATTTCAGTCTTTAATCTAGATTAAAGATTAAACAAGTAGTGCCTGGGGCTGGGCTACACCATTTGGACTGCAAACATCTGGATGGGAACTATATGATTGGTAAGGCCTTACTTTTCTGCATTCATTGGCAATCCAGATAATGTAGCATTCAACTACAGGTAATCCTCAACTTACAACAATTTGTTTAGTGACTGGTCAACGTTTCAATCACACTGAAAAAAGTGACTTATAACCGTTGGTACTTGCGTTGCAGTGTCCCTGGGTCACATGTACCTGCCATGCATGAGGTATATGTGCTTTCTTGGACATACTGTACCTGATTTTCTTTTGTTTTATTTTTTTCCACAGAAAGATGATGAATCAGACAATGAAAATGTTGAAAGTGTGGCTCTAGTCACGCAGCATGGATCAGCAATACACAGTAACTTCCCTGATCCTACTGATGGATTCTTCCAAATGGTATCATGATTTTCTTTCTGAGCACTTAGGGGTTGATAATCCACTTGTTTTGTTCTCTCTATATATATGTAAATATAAATAATAGTGAAATATTTTTTTCTGTCTTATGTAAAAACTCTCCATCTCTGATTTCTCTTCCTATAGTGATTAAAAATACCCACTTATATATGTCAACTGCATTCCCTATTAATGGTATAAGACAGCAGTCACCAACCGGTGGGCCACGGCCTACTGGTGAGCCGTGAGAAAATTTTGGTGGGCCGCAGAGAAATCTCACCCCCAGAGCATTCCCCCAAAACAATTAATCCAGAAACGCAGAAACATAAGGCTGCACAGCCCACATGCTCGCAGGAACCCTCCCCACCCACTCACTCTTTACCCGGCAAACTTGCCTGCTAAATTGCTATTTTTCCTTTTTCCGACCATCATCTGTTCTGCTGTGCCGGGAGATTTAGATTAGCTAGGAAGCAGGAAATGGTTGGATTTCTTGCTTTCTAGCTAGTCTTTAGATCTTTGCCTCTGTTTTTAAGCACAGCCGAACCTCCCTTAGGACTGAAGGTTCTATTATTCAGTGCAGATTCACGGCAAGCAAATTTTATGTGACAGACTGAGCTAGCCAATGGCAGATAGATAGATAACTGAATGATTCTGTGAGCAACTCAATCTGCCTGCCTACTTTGCCTGATTTTGGGTAAAAGTTGCTCTTTTTTATAAAAAATTCAATATTTATATAAATATAATATTTACATACAAGCCATGCCCAACCAGTCACATGACCACCAAGCCACACCCACAGAATCAGTTAGTGGTCCCTGGGATTTAAAATTATGAGTTTGGTGGTCCCTGAGGTCCAAAAGGTTGGCAACCCGCCCCCCTCCTACATGTGAACTCTAATGAAACATTCACAGCAAGCTAAATTGACCCGAATGGCAACAGGGGGCAAATCAGACAGGAACCAGTAGCCCAAATAACTCAGATTATTTATATTCACTTGCTGTAGCTCAAAGATAGTACAGCTAGCATACTGATCTAGCAGGAAAGAATCAGTAATGAGGAGAGCATCAAGATGGGTTTATCCAAAAACATTCCAATCTCATGCTGTAATTAATTAACACTGTGTCTTCCTCTTTCTTTATCTGATCTTTGAAATGTAAGAGACCAAAGCTGTATCAGCTGCAGTTTTGCTTTTGCTCAGAGCTGCTCAGCAAGCAGCCAGTGCTTTGCTGGAAGTTTGATGTACACTGTGGTTATTGGTATGCTTAATCTGTTTATGTTATATCTTCAAAGCAGTTTGGTTGCTTTGGTGAGCCAGGTTTTGGCCACAATACCATACTGTTTGATTGCTTGATATCTCCAGGGTGGCAGAAAATATTATTTTGCTGCTCTAATACATTGAGAGGACAGGAAAGAAAATTATACTTCCAAAGCCTTACATGATTTAGGTCTCATAACTGTTGATGATTAGATAATTTATTTTTATAGGATCATAAATATATGAATTATATTAACAGCTGCATTTTCTTTTTATACTTCCTTTTGAATACCAACTACAGGGGGAACCTCTGGTCACGAATGCTTCTGTTCGTGACCAATTCGGGTGACAACCAAAGGTTTTTATCTCTGGTCGCAAACGGTGCTTGAGTGGTGACTAAACTCAGGCACGGCAATTTGCTGTTCCATGCCAATTTTCCCTTCTGTACCGTGCCTTTTTTTTTCACGCATGCGCTTCCGGGAATGTCAAAATTGGATGACAGCTGAATTCTTGGAACAGATTACAATCGTCACCTGAGGTTCCACTGTACTTGGAAAATTTCTAAAACTCTTTTGATCAGTATCCACTAGTATTTTGGATCTATTGCTACACTGGATCACTCTATCTATATGGAATAGTGACTTTAGTTGCCATTGATAGCGTATCTATCCAGATGTTTCAAATGTAAAAAAAGAAGTAGCTATGCTGTTCATTAAATCAAGAAAAGGGGAAAGAATTCAGTAGAGCTAAATGAATCTTGGGTGTATTCTTAAAGAGCCATGGTGATGAATATATGTATGAAAGTGAAGGTGTAGGTTTAATTATGAATGACAGAGTTAAAATGTATGTTAGCAATTATGTATTGGTATAACTGGATTGCTATGAGTATGTATGAAAATAGCTTGCATGCTACAGTCCATAGAATGGTGATAATAAAAAGAATCTGGAATGAATTTGAGGAAATAGTGGACAACATTTAAACAAGGTACAACAGTACTTCCCCTCATTCAAAATATTTAATATGTGAAAAGTACATTCATATCTGGCTGTTAAGAAAATGCTGTACAGAAAAACACAGCTGTGTAAATGCAACACACCTTCCCCCAGCAGGATTAGTTTAAGTGCTTGGGAAGATGTTTAGCAGAATTTTGATAGATACAAAGTGCATTGATTGCTGGGGGTATGTAGATAAGTTTTATGATTTTCAGCAAGACATTGAAGAGTATGAGAATTGGAAAATATGTTGGAAAATCTATCATAAAGTAAATACCGTATTTTTCAGACTATAAGACGCACTAGACCATAAGATACACCTAGGTTTAGAGGAGGAAAACAACAACAAAAATAGTTTTTTGCTCTGCGCATCCTGAGTTTGCCCTCCACGGCATCAGGGAGGCTGAAAATGGAACGCATGGAAGGTTTGGGAAGCCAAAAAAACAGGCCTGTTTTTGGTCTGCAGAGTTCTTCTGGATGCAGGGAGGGCAAAAAAAGGCCCCACAGAAGCCTCTGGAGGCCAAAAATGGGCCCATATTCTCTCTATAAGACACACAAACATTTCCACCCACTTTTTTGGGGGGGGGCATCTTATAATCCAAAAAATACAATAACTTGCATAATGGAACATTTTGCTTGAATGAGTCTAGGACAAGTTGCTGCAGCCGACTCACAGCAAGTAGGGCGTATCAAATTTTTCAACTTTCAGTTTCCAAACATTACAGGTGCTCTAAAGTTGTGAAATGCCTTGGAGATTGTAAAAATATTTTGGTTATTTTAACATAATTTAGATGTGCTTAGTAAGTATCTACATAAATATCACTTTTTAACATTTTGTTTGTTTCAATGCGGGATAATTCAAGAGAGGGACAAGTGAATTGCAGTGGGGCCTGGTCTTGCTTTAGATTTGAACCTTCTCAAGTCAGACATCCTCGAAGCTGGGATGAACTAGAATATGGAGTCACTTGTCCCTCTTGTCTCTCTCTTAAGTTAACCCTCTTTGAATTGTCCCTCAGCAAGTTTTCCCGTGGTGAGTTGTCCGCAGCGAGTTGGCCAGGGACGAGTTTTCCCATTCTCTTCTTGAATATGAAGTTGCAATTTGCATGATATATATTTGCTGAATACAGTTAGAGTGATATACAGTACAATAGAAGCACGTGTGAGAAAAACTGAATGCTTAATGCTTAGTTTATTTGATGTTGTGGCGGGGCTTTAAGAAATCCCTTCTGCCCACTTTGTTACTTGGTAGACCTCACTTAACTATCAGAAATGGGACCAGCAATTCTGTTGCTAAGCGATACAGTCATTAAATAAGACATCACGTGTTTGCGACTTGAAATCTCCCAGTTTCTCTGCTTGGCTATGAAGTGGGGAAATGATTTCAGGGATGCTACAGTGGTAAGAGGGATAACAGGTTGTAAAGTTCATTTTTCAGTTCTACAGTAACTTTGAATTTAAAAGCGTAGTTATTGAGGACTACCTGTAATTAGTTTATTCTTCTGAAATGATTTTTAGAAAACAACCTATAGAACCTAGAATAGTGGTTCTCAGCCTTTATTTCACCATGGACCCCTTTTAAATACTTTTTGTGGCCACAGACCCCTAAGACTTAAGATTTAAATCATATAATTTCTTCAAGCTTTCATGGACCCCCTGAGATGACATCACAACCGTCCCCCATGTGTCCACAGACCACAAGTTGAGAACCACTGACCTAGAACAATTATCATCACTGTTCTGAGCTCTCTGATATAAGATCAGGATTCAGTAATTGGTACTGACCTCATTACATCATTTATCCCCTTTATAGACACGTGACATCCGTGAAGCCTTGAAGATACTGGAAAACAAAGTGAAGGACCTAGAAAAAAACCAGACTACAGTCTTGGCTTCACCAATCCCTGATGACAGTAGGTTTTCCAACGATCAAGCTTCAATCTGCTGAAAAATACCATGTGGCTTAAATGTATGTGGCATCTTGCAGGCTGTTGCTTACAAGGTTACGTGTTCCAAAATTACAAACGGAAAACTAACAGCAAATGCTACAGTCCCTCTTTAAAGCTTAGTTAAATTAGGACTGAGGCTTAAGATGACAGGGCAAAAATGACAGAAAATACCATCTTTGAGAAGAAATTAGTGGAAAAAGGAAAGGTGCTTCAAACAGGAGACTTACACAAATGAGGCAGCAAGGAAGATTTGTCGATCATATTGATCAAGAAAGCAAGAGACCTTTGGTCAGTTGAGAGTAGGAATCAAGAATAGAATCCAAATGTTTAAATGTAACAACTGAAAGAAAGACTTGCACTTAGATATCTTTCAAAATAAGGCCAAGGAATTTGTGCTGTGAGTAGAGCCATCATAATCAGGTGATCACCATTCGGGCATTTCAGAACTGCCTTACAACAAGCTGCGTTAATAGAGAAGGCAAAAATAAAATTGTAAACACATGATATTTTGCTTAGGCAAATGCGGCACTTAGCAACAGAGCTGCCAGTACCGATTGGTTACTAAGAAGGGCTACCTGTACAGAAGAAAATGAGCAGTTATAAATCAGACTCAGCAAAGGCATAAAGGAGACAGTTTTATAGAATTGTTCAGGAAGAAGTGGTGTGACTTACAATGGATTGCAAGTAGCAGTAGCACTTAGACTTATTTACCACTTCAACAGTATTTTACAGCCCTCTCTAAGCAGTTTACAGAGTCAGCATATTGCCCCCAACAATCTCGCTTCTCATTTTACCGACCTCAGAAAGATGGAAGGCCAAGGTAACCTTGAGCCAGTGAGAATCGAACTGCTGGCAGTCAGCAAAATTAGCCTGCTATACTGCATTCCAACCACTGCACCACCAAAGCAGTCCTTGCTTACTGAGGGCCTCAGAAAACAACTGTTCCTACTTAAAATGAAAAGTAACTCTGTGACTAATGCCCACATTTGCAGCCTTTGCATTTCTCTGCCAAAGGTTTGCCATTACAGTCAGTTGATAGGGGTGTCCGGTGAAAAATCATAAACAATCACATGATTTTTTGCTTTGTGACTGTTTTGCTTAACTGGATTGATGGTCCCTAATGCTGTCACTAAACGAGGTCTAAAATTGTTCCCATCATTTACAGATAGTCCTCATTAGTTTCCCAGAGGAAAGGTGGGAGATGGGCAGTGTAGCTCAGTCACAGTGCTTGCAAAAATTGGATATGGTGAAAATTAATTTTTGCATTTCCAATGTGTTTTCTAGATACGAAGCAAGGCCTACAAAAGCTGCGTGAGGAGATCAAGGACTCAGCAAAAGACATCAGAGCCCAGCTGAAGAGTGAGTATGTGCACACCTTATGAGGAAAACAAGGAGGGTTGTATCTTGACTCTTCAGCTTGGGAATTAGAATCTAGTGCTCTGAAAAATACCATGTTTTAGTTCCCAGAATTCTTTCTTGAAATAAGCATTGCAATCTAACTACAGCCACTTCTTAATTATGTAGGAATTGAGCCCATGAAGGAGGAACAAGATGAGAACAGAAATTCATTCAACAACCGAATGAAGAGAAATCAGGTGAGAAGCAAAGCAATTGGTTGCCTTTGATGGGGAAGAAGGTGAGGAGGCAAAAAGGGTCTTTTAAAGTTGTAGCAACGTTTCAGCAGAATCTCATCTGCCATCATCAGGCTTCTGTATTGTGTCCGTCTGTGGGTCAGACTTTTACAGTGGTTTCAGATTTAAATTTGGGGCAGCCTATTGCTGTGCCAGAATGGTTTTTTCTTCATCCTGATTGGTTGGGAGTCTTGGTCTGTGTTTATTGGTCTTGGAGTTTGCTGTGTTTTGCTTGATGGGTGTCTCTGATATCTTCTGTCTGTTTTTTGGCTCTTTTTGTATCTTGATTGGCTGGCAGCATTGTGTTACTTTAATGGAGGCCTTTAGTGCAGCTTGGCTTCGGGTAAATGGACGGCTATCATTAGTTAGGAAGCTGGGTTTCATCTGGGTGCCTGGTTGGGGTGTGTTTGAGCTGGAGGTATCAGGGGGGGATCTGTTTGTGCCCAGGTGTTTGCCTGGCTTGTGGTGTGGAGATTTTTTTGTTAGTGAGTGCAGGTTTCCAAATGATTGACAGCCTGGTGGAATCATCTCTTCTGTTCATGCTTTCTGGTCTTTTTTCAATCTCTATGGCTTCTCTGATGACTCTGTGGCTAGGGTTTTCCATAGTGGCCAGGGTTTTGGTGCCATTGAAGTTGATGCTATGACCTGTAGCTTCCATCTGTTGGACTAGTGAGGAAGTGTGTTCCAGCTTTTTGACTGCATTTTTGTGTTCATCCAGGCGGGTACTTATTCTTCTATTGGTCTGTCCAATGTATGTGGCCGGGCATGATGCACAGGGGACTTATATATATATATTTCTGTTTCAGCATGGGATCCTTTCCCAACAATTCTTGGATCTCATCAATAAATGCAACTCTATACAGTCTGACTACCGAGACCGAAATTTGGAGCGCATCAAACGACATCTACAGATTAGTGAGTATTTGTGGTTGCCTTTGTTAGGTACAGAAAATGCTGCATTTTAATGTCAAATCATCTTGTAGAATTGCCCCAAATCATGTGCCTGCTTTGGAAAGATTGCAACAGCCAAATTTATTTGGATATTTTATGGCTAAGGAAAGTCCCAGGTGGTGGCCAGTTAGTTACTGGGCCAAATTCAAATGTTTAGTTATTTGGGACAAGGACACCTGTTAGAGAATCTCAGTTTTAGATCTGTTCAGTCACTGAGATTATCATGCATTTATTGAGAAGTCTGGCAACTGTTCACAGATGGGTCTTCTTAATGATAGTACCTCTAGAATGATTCTTCCTCTGGACATTTGAGAGACACCACCTACAGAAACTTTTAAGGTTTTATTTAAAAAAATACATTCCTTTAATATATTATTTATCATTATATATATTTTATTGTTGCTTTTGTTGTTTTTTAAAAGTAATTTTATTAAAGGTTATAATTGCAACAATAAAAACTAATGCAAACTGGAAGAAAGCAACAATAAAAAAGAGTTAAAATGCCAAGGAAAAGAAAAAATGTAAAAGAAAAGAATAAAGAAAAAGAAGTGACTTCCAACCTTCATCACAACAAATATAAACAATTTTAGTAATTTTTCACCTCTTACTTTACAACCAATTATCTCTTTATCCTGCGTTTCATTTCTTATCTATTAATAAATCCATAAATTTATTTCATTATTAGTTCAGTCCTGGTGTCAGCAAAAGTCCATTAAAAGTTGCCAGAAATAACCTATCTGTTTTATCCTTGATCAAATAAGCCAACTTCATGTTCCTTTCTTTTACTTCCAACAGTCTTAATTTTAATCCAATCAAGTACTCTTCTAGAACTACTTTTTTTACCCCTTCCCACAAGATTCATCTAAGCTTTAACTAACATCTTGTAAATTTAATATGACACAATTATCCAGATCACTTTTTTGATTTATTATTTGTAATTCTCTTTTGACTTTAATGAAACATCTTTTTCCATGTCATTTTTGTAGCTTGTCATTTGTCAGATAAAACTTGTTTCTCTTCTATCATTTCTTCCAAAACATTTTTTGACATAACCTATCTACAGAAATAGACATCGCTATTAAAATTCTTATTAATTTCTGATTTCTTTTTTCTAAATCATCCCACAGTATTTCCAGTGTTTTTGTACTGCTTACAGATATTTCAGCACTGGAAGCAGTACAAAAAATACATTAAATAAATAAGGGAGAATGTCCAAACGTGATATCCTATTTTCTATACTGTTTCTCTTTAAGAAAATAGTAGAAAAAAGCAGGAATCTTGTGTTCTATTCCATGAATAGTACATTAATTTAACTGAAAAAAAGTTTCTTTTTAAATTCTTAGTTCTGTCAGTGAATATAGAAATAGAAAAATTATGCGGAACAAACTAGTATACAAATGTAATGTGCATAATAATGCTTTTGAAATGAAGATTTTTAAAAAAATAAGTTTTATTCAGTTTTCCACATTTTAACATTTCTTTTTAGTGAATAGCATGATTACAGGTTTTACATATACATAGAAATATGCCCATAATTACATATTCAATTTTTGTATTCAATTTCTTATCTTAACAATGCTTTTATACATTTTCTATTTTATTATATTATTCCAAATGCTTATCTCATTATTTAATTCACATATATTAACTTCATAATTATTCAATTAAGTACTTTTAACTGTCACATTTGTATATTTCCTCTTAAATTCTGATTAATAACACAACTTCTATAAATTGGTCTCCTCCCTAACATATCAGTTTAAGTGCACCACCTCTAAGTTACATATTCATTAATTATCTCCCCTTTTAAATCCCATTAAATGTTTAAAATTTTATTACCTAAAACATTAATATTAATAATCCCATTTAAAACTATATAACATATATAAATCAGATTCTGCATGGTTTCCCCTTTTTAATTTCATAAGGTTTATCTACAATTTCAGAAAAAAGGACATATTAATCTACTCATTTAATCCTAAACCCTGATGTTAATTCCATTTCAGCTCTTCTCCTATATCATTTTATTTATTTCAGTATATTTAATACACATATTCCATTAATTATTCCATTCATATTTAAACAAAAAATATCAGCATTCCAATCCTAAAAGTATTGCAATATATTTAATAAACATATTCCATTATTTGTTACAATTATCTCTATGCATAAAGGAAAAGAGCATTGAATTCCATTATCAAAAAATAACAATTCTATTTTCCATCTTATCAATCTATATGTCCCCATTTCACAACTACAAATTTATTTATGTTACCCCCCAGCACCTTGCAGAATCCCCTCTCCAAATATCAATCAGCCATTATTATCTCTTATGTCTAATTAAACAATTTTTCCCCATTTTTTTTACAGTTCCCATATTTCTTTGTTCCCAAGTCCTGTTTCTTATCCCTTCTTTCCACTTGTATTTTCCCCTTTATTCTTTCAGTCCAGTTTTTATCCCCCTCTCTATTTATAACTTCCTTCCGCCCTTCGAATTTCTGCTGATTCTTTTTCCCTTTTTTAATTTTCCAGATATTTCCCTCTTTATTCAATTTTCCAGATCTCCAATATTTATTTCTAACTCTTTTCCTCTTTCTTTCCAGAGTTCTTTGTTCTCGATGGTAATTAAAGATGGCCCCTTCTATGATTTGCTCCACCTCCTCTTCTGTCCTTTGTCTTTGTTGTTCATACTCTGCAATCACATTTTCAATGAATTTTGAAGCAAAGCCCAGCATTTCACCTCGCTCTTGTAATATTTCTTTCGTGTTTCTGAGTTCCATTTTTAATGCCAGAGGAGATATCACCATTTTACAGCTTTCTAATTAGCGGTTTGATCCAAATAGCGTCTTTAAAGTTAATTTCCAACAATCAGCTTTTATTTTCTTCCTCTCAAGTTTTAATCCTCAGCTAATCCAATGCCAAATCCACATCAGAATCAACAATTAATCCAAGGGCAGAATCTTCCTGTTTCTTTCTTTGTTTCAATGTTTCAATTTTTCAAAGTTCTTGTTTTATTTTATCAATTTTCCTTACAATTTTAAGAAACAGAGTCTTAAAAGAAAAAGAAGTTAGATTTAACTCAGATGGCACTCTTTGTTCTGGCAAGTCCACACCCCCTTTTTTTCTTCCAAATTATTCAGAGCTTTTTAAAACACAAACTTCCAAAAAAAGGTCAAATCCAATTGATATTAATTTTTTTCTTTAACAATCTATAGTTCAGCTTTATTAGTGCCTATATAGAATCAAAATATACTTATCCAAATTGATTAGATGATTCCTTCTCCAGCTTCTACCTTTCTCGGTTCAAAGCCCCGCTGCTGTCAAAAGCAATTCACACCTTTTTTTTTTCTCTTTCTATTCGCCACTTTAAGTCCTTTCTTAAAAATTCTTTGAAATGTTAACCCTGGGGGTACCTTCCATTTAATTATGTCATCCTGTTCCTTCCATTTAATTATGTCATGCTGTTCGTTTCTTTCTCTCTCTGCTGCACAAACTATTCCGGTCTAATCTTCCCCTTCAGGGTGGCCATTTTAGACCACCACTTCATGCATCTTCGGGAGGGAGCAATTGCCAAGCTGGGGAGGGGATTTGCAACTCCCCTCTACCCGGCTGACGGTCTCCCCTTCCTCCGCCACCCCTACAAGGTGGCTTCTGCCCCAAATCTGGTCGATTGGGGCTCTCCGACGCCAAAGTACAGACCAAAGCCATGCACAGTCGCGGACAGTGGTCCGTCTTCGGGGAAGCTCAAAACCAGAAGAAGATTTTTTTTTCTTCAAAAAGAGGATTACAGTGGCTTTTTTTAAATGCATGGTCCTGTAGCCCAAGGCGCAGGAACATACTATAATGTAATTCTGAAACTTAACCAGTTACATTTGGAATATGTAAAATGGGATGGCCAGAGATTATTTAATTTAAAATCCCCTCCCCCAAAGTATTCGATTTATCTACCAGGTAAGCTGACAAGGGATTTTATGAGCAATTCCTCAAAATAAATTGGCCAAAGCAATTCGAGTCATACTTCTGAAACAGCACAAGACCTCCCAGAATGCCCGATTCACATATTCTGAGAAATTAAGGGAACTTTCCGGAAGGAATATGAAGCATTCTGCTGCCAGCCTGTTCCATTTTGTGATTTGCTATGACATCCCCGCCAACATAATTGTTTGGATATTCATGTGTGAAAAGAAATGTGAACTCCACAGTTGAAAAATATCACATAATTTTCCAACATTCTAAAGCTGGCCTACATTTTTGGTTTAAATTCAATTTATACATCTGATATGTTTTTGTAGGCCTGGGTATGGTAAAGATAAGATAGGCCAGAACATGCTCAGAACAGCAACAACAAGTGCTTCTGTGAAGCTCAAAACTAGCTTTGGCACATTTCCAGTTGTAAAAATGCCATGTTCATCAGTAGCCTTTATGAGGAAAAAGATGGATACACTGTGGCTTATTTCATGCATCAGTCTACCAAAAACAGGAGAGCATACCTCCTAGTGTGTTCTCCAGCAAGGTGGGAAGGCATCAGGCCCACAAGAAAAGGATATTTTATAGTTCAGTACCTGGAATCCTCATTCCCTGTTTTTTAAAAAACAAAACAGGGAAGACAACTTAGAATCATAGGATTAGAAGGGACCTTGGAGGTCTTCTAATCCAATCACCTGCCAAAGCAAAAATCCTTAAATTATCCCAGACAAAATCTTTCCTAGAAATCCTGCAGCCCCAAAGTTACATGTGCCATTAGTCTCCTATTTGTAGCCCTTGGAAGCTCATTTGACCCTGATTTCTTGAAAACCAAAAGCACTGTTTCTCTTTTGAGGAGAAAAGTAGAAACTTATCCAATATAAATGGTAAAAGAGGGAGATCATAGTTCAATGTCTGTCCCTTCTCAAAAAGTTTGATACATTCTTTCTAGAAGAAGTTTACTAGAGTTTACAGGGTTTAGCTTTTATGTTCCACCTCTGAATGTTCAGTTTTATAAAGCCCTTCAGTAATGTGTGCTCTTTATATGTTAATCAAGTCATTATCCCTCAGAAAGGTAGCATCTGAGGGATAATGTCATAAAGCACTGTTTCTTAACCTTGGCAACTTCAAGATGTGTTGATCAACTCCTAGCCTCAAAAGTTGAAACAACTACTAGTAAAATCACAATCACAGTCATTTCAGCATCTCTGGAAAAAAAGCAAACAAGCAACAAAGCTGTCTGATGATATCACTCAGTTGTGAAATATAGAGGGTTTTACTCCTAGCTTTATTGCGTTTTCTGCCTTTCAGCTGTGCAGTTTGCCATGAGAGGGCATTGTGGTGCTAGCATAGAGCAGATAAATTTAGGATTCCAGTGCACCCTTGACTTTTTGGTCTTATGCTTCAGATACAGCACCTAGATTTTTGGATTCTATTCATAGGGCAAAACAAGTTTTAGAGTCCTGAGAAAAAGATATTTTGAATTTCATTTCTCTTTTTTGATGGAAGAGTGAAAAAATTTCTTGCTTATTGATATTGACATTGTATTTTATTTCCTTCCAGCTGGTAGCACAGTGGTATCTGATGAAGAACTGGATGAGATGCTGGAGAGTGGTCAGACAGAAGTATTTATTTCAAATGTGAGTATCAAAATATTGGGGCCTTTGAAAGGAGGAAAAGGCTCTCAACAAGGGGATTCATCTACCTCACCTTTTTCGTGCAGCTCATGAAGGACACCCAAGTGACAAAGCAGGCTCTCAATGATATCGAAACCAGGCACAATGAAATCCTGAAATTGGAGCGCAGTATCCAAGAGCTACATGACCTGTTTATGTTCCTGGCTACAGAAGTGGAGCTGCAAGTATGAAGTGGAAAGAAAGAAAAGCAAGGGGGATTTTGCTTTGGTCAGACTTTATTGAATCACACCATCAGCCCAATTACCTTAGTAGGGTTTACACTTAGTAGGGTTTACTACTGTAGCTTTTTTTGGTGTCAAAGATCTTTCCCAGCTTCTTTGGAGATGTTAACCATTGATCTTTGGATTTCTTGCATGAAAAAGATAGGCAATACTTCCCCGAAGAGAGAAAGGAATATTTATGCAGTCCTCTTAATTCCCTTTTTTTAACCTGTTCTAACTCTCTATAAGCATCCAGTCTCCTTCCTATCAGTACTATTGTCAAGTAGACTTCCTGTATGGCCTTTCTAGGAGGTTTTTCTCACCAAGAGCCATGGTGGCACAGTAGTCAGAATGCAATACTGCAGGCTACTTCTCCTAACTGCCGGCTGCCTGCAGTTTAACAGTGATCCTCACCAGGGTCAAGGTTGACTTAGCCTTCCATTCTTCTGAGGTCAGTAAAGTGAGGACCCAGATTGTTGGAGGCAAATATGCTGACTCTGTAAACAGCTTAGAGAGGGCTATAAAGCACTGTGAAGCGATATACAAGTCTAAGTGCTATCAATGATGCAAAAGTTGAGCCACTACATTTAAACAGTTTTGAACTGCCATTAGTTTGCTTTGTTTTCACTTTACCACTAGTTGTCCCATAGTCATGCGGTGGAACCTCTTAGTCTTGCTGCTTTTTCTGTTCTGCCCCCCACAAGAACTGGTTGTTTTTGCCTGAAATCTAAACATCCCCTTTTGATTCCACTCAGGGAGACATGATTGACAGGATAGAGAAGAATATTCTAGACTCCGGGGACTACGTCAAGAAGGGGCAACTGCACCTTCACCAAGCCCAGGAGAGTCAGAAGAAAGCTCTCAAGGTAAACTGTCCCCATCTGCAGCCCTCATACCATCGGTCCCCGCATGCTTGCCACCTCTTCTACGCGCACCGGGGGTGGAGCTCCCAACTGGGCTGAAATCATGTTTTCCTGAAAATAAGCCTAGTGCTTATTTTGAAGCCCGAAAAATATAAGACTGGGTCTTTTTTTTTTTTCAAGGAACATGGTATAAAATGAAATACCCTTCCAGTGTTTCTTACAAGGGTTAACTCTCTGGGAGTTTCTGCTTTCAATTCAGGGGTGGGGTGGGGTGGGACGGGACGATATTTTGAGTCCTTGCAGTCCAAAATAGCTAGCAGCACACGGTGAAGTCTTAGAGAGATGAAAGGTGCGTTGAGCAAGTAGGCTGTGGGTGAGAAAGTACCTTTTTTTATTCCCTGAAGCTAGCAGAGAAAGAATCAGTATAGCTGGAGATGCTTCTCCATCTATATTTCTTCACATCTTTCTGCCTTCTCTCTCTTGCCTTTGGGGCTCTACAGAAGAAGTTCATGATCGGCATCTGCTTGACCATCACAGTACTCATCATTATTCTCATCATCATCCTGTCCCTTGCACTTTGAAAGGACTTTCCCACCCCACCTGTGTCTCCCTTCATGCTGCATGATCAAAGCCTGATGGTACGTGCAATGAGATGAAAACCCAAGGTTAAGCTTGGGCTGAGTTAAACTTGGTTGGCCCACTAAGCAGGCTTGAACAGATGCTGTGGGTGACAAGATGCATCCCTAAAAGGGCTTTATATTATAATGTATTAAACTTGTATTTAAATTATAAAGTATATGAATATATGAGCAAACGAAAATGGCCGTAGCTATTTAACCAGACACATGTTGCTCCCATGTGCTCTTTCTCCTATAATTCAAGGATGCAGCTCTTTTCAGCATTTCGCAGAGATAGAGATGCTTCCTTAGTGTCCCATGTCTCTTGGAAGGAAGTGAAACCTTTGGAAAGGCTTATTGTACAAGTTAGGCAACTGGGAAGGCTAGTATATTAGATTGGGGTGGGCAACTATGGGCTCCTTTGCAACCTGTGGACTTCAACTCCCAGAATTCCATGCTGGCTCAGGAATTCTGGGAGTTGAAGTCCGCAGGTTATTTATTAGATAGAGCTTTTCAGTTGGGTCAGAATGGAAATAGTGATTCTCTCTGGAATTGTTTTTCTCTCTCTTTTTTTTTTTTAGGATTTCCCTTGGGCTGCATCTCTATCCTGGAACTGTCCCCCCTTCACTGGGGAGGCCTTTGCACTACAGGTGACTGGTGGGGCTCCTCTGGGCCCCTTCAGTCCTGGAAGCACATGCTGCCTATGCCTAGAAATCTTCCCTACGTTCAAAACTATGTCCAGGTGCCTATAATGGTCATAATCTAGAAGACGCTCTTTGCTGCTTCAGTTTTGACCTTTCTGGATTATTTTTATAAAGTTTTCCTCAATGGATACTGCAGTCCTGACTCAAAAACAGTGATCAGTCACTTCCAGGAAAGAATCCTCAAAGGAAGAATCCTTTGTTGTTGTTGTTTATTCTTGTAAAGACACAACAAAGCAACACCACGAGCAACCCTAGTTTTCCTTCACTAATCATGGCACATTTTCTCCCTCTACTTATGTCACAAGTCTTGCCTCAGCACCTTCTTCAGCCTTTCACAGTTCATGCCATGACACTTTAAAAATATAGGCTCCTCCCCACCCAAAATATTCTGCGTTCACCAGAGAGCAAAGGAAGATAAGAATATTCTGCAGAGGTTGGGTAGATCTTGATCCATCCCATCCTATGCTCAACCATGCAGGGTGGGGGGGAATCTACTCTTCATCCTGAGCTGATCTGTTGGATTTTTCTCTTTGTCTTAGAGAGAGAACCTAGTTTGGTAAAAGGATGGCAGATGAACCCTCCTGGTCCATTCTTGGCTGAAATATTGGGGTTGCCAAGCTTTTTTCCAATTTCCTTTAGAGTTGTTGCTGTGTCTTTTCTCTACCTATGTGCCTTAGGAATTGTGTGCCCAACTTTTGGTCGTGACTACAGATTACTTCATTCTCTCTCTTGGATCTTTTGATCCTGATTAATATTCAGGTGCCAATCTTAAATGGATTTAGAGTGAACTTTGTCCCTTGTGGGATTTGCACAGAGACCTAAATATGGCCTAAAAATCATGTTCAGAGGACCAGATTAAATCAAGGTCCCAAACGGTCTAGCAAGTCAAGTCATCTGGTATGTTTTTCCATGCAAATCCAGCTAAATTATTTTGGGAAATCATGATGCAAGTGGAAATTAGGATCTCCTGGTCCTGTTTCTAAAAATCCAGTACTTTTATATTTTGAAAAAAAAATTATCAGAGAATTAAGCTTTTCCCCCTAATTGCTTCGAAGTCTCAATGTACTCAAAAGCAGGCTGACTATATTTTGTAATATAAAATAAAAGCACTTTTAAAAACAATTAAAAGTAGATTGTCTTTTTTCTAAAGAAATGTGCTCCTTCGCAACCATAGATCTTCAGAGGCTTTGGCTTTCAGCTACTACTACTAAATGCTAGGTTTGTCTGTAGGAGAGTCTGTAATAATCTGTGATTTAGAAATGAGAGGATTTAATCATAGATGAGATGACCGACCTGGCATGTATTATCAAGACCTGGTTGGGTCCAGAAGTGGGAATGGACATTTCAGAAATGTGTCCAGTGGCGCATCAAGTGTGATATTAGCCAAGATGTCGGGTCACAAGTAGCGATGGTCACTTGGAAGTTTCTTAAGGCTCTCTGGAGTTTTATTCTATAGGAGACCCTGTTCATTTAATCAGGGTCTATGGATCATTTGGGATTTGTTGCTGTACCAGCCTTCCTGTTGCATAGCAACCCCCGTACCTGAGCTGCTGGACTCCATTGCTAGATGAAGCTTGCAAAAAGCCATAGCTGGCTCTACAAACAGACATCCACCTTGTCTTCTTTTTGCAAGTTCAGCAAGATAAACTAGAAAGTATTTGCTGCATAAAAAGGCTCTCAAATTGAACAAAACATTATCACCTGAACTAGATGTTGGCAGATTGATTTTAAGGATATGTCCTGGGATTTGAGAGTTATCAGATACGCAGCATCAGTCAGGGATCAAAAGACACTGAAGATGAATGATTACTTGAATTTAGTAGTTGAGAATGCAGAACTTCCTGCCTCCAACCAGCTCCAAGTTTTAAGATTTGGCTACTTTAGGGAAAGGTTGAGGAATAGCTCATTATAGAACAAGGATCTCTAAACTTGGCAATTTTAAGATTTGTGGACTTCAACTTCCACGCTGGCTGAGGAATTCTGGAATTTGAAGTCCACAAGTCTTATGAGTTGCCAAGTTTTGAGGCCCCCTGTTAAAGAACAAAATATTTGGCTTCTATAGACAAGTAGGTGGGGAAATTGTTATGTTGAGTGAGTAGGTTATAGCTTTTTCTAATAGATTATGTTAGACCTATTAAAGGATGTTTCCAGATCTCAAAATGCATGGATCCAATCTCTTAACAGCTGTAGCCAAAGATGCAAAAGTAATTTTAGGATGGTGCGGCACTGCACCCATAAATTTTCTCCTTATTCTTTTATTCCTCCTTTTGTGGAATTCAACCGTGTGAGAATCAGTGTGCTTCCCCCCCTCTCCCTCCCCCTCCCCACCGCAGCTTTCCCTGCTGGTTAGTGATGAATAGAGTTCCATTCTTAAATACCCCCCAATCTTCAAAATGGCATTTTGATGTAATCCTGTGGGGAGAAAAACAAGTGCCTCTTAGAATTAATGTCAGCTTTTTCCTGTGTAAAATTGGTAGCAGAAGAGTAGCAATTGGATTAGGTTGGAGAAGAGAAACAAGTATTTGTTTTAATACCTGCTTTCTTCAATACTTAGGGTAAAAAAGAATTCTGCCACCAGTAGCTCTGATGTGTCATATTTCTTTCCACTTCCTGACTCAGCCTCATACAGGATACACAAGGCGGGAAATAAACTCTGATGTGGGCTTTTTGGTTTCCATTTGATGCTTGTAAAAGAGGCTCTCATAACAGTAATTTCAAATAAATTATATGTTACCTTGCTCTTTATTTAATGTCCCCCTGCGCTTAGTGTTCAGAAATGCCTGGATGTGTGTAATCATCCTGCATTTGCAAGATGGTTCTGATTGTTGTCCTCCCAAGCAGTTGTGTGACTGGTTAATATGATTTATTAATGAAGGCTGACGTCAAAGACGCCAATCTCTGGAGAGTCACCATCTTGTCATTTGACTCCCACCACTCAAGCCAATTTTGCAGGAAACTTTGAGTAAGCGCTGCAAAATGTTAAGAGGTTTCATTTTTCCTCAGTCTGGCTGAATTAATTTGAAATGCAGGTTGCTACCATTTTCCTTCTCCATTTGCAAAACCAAATGATTTGATACCCATCTTTTCATGTTCTCATTTTGCATAATCACTTCCATCCTCTCTCTCTCTCTCTCTCTCTCTCTCTCTCTCTCTCTCTCTCTCTC